AATGGCAATATCTGCTGCTTGTTCAACAACGTCATCATCTTGTCGCTTTCAATGAGGACCTAACATCTCAAACGGATTTCTTTAAACAAAACAAAATATTAAGCCATCATCTGGAATGTTAATCAATGTAATAGTTCTTAATTTTAAAGTTAAGGAATCATTTTCCTTTTTGATCCATTTTATAGAGAATATGACTACAGAAAAAAGTGTTTGTTTAATGTGTTGTAGATTTGAATAATTTGTATATGCACCAGAACTTTGGAGCAATCATTTATCTTTAGTTTTGTCATTTTTTTTATTCACGAGGCACTAATACTTTAAAAACATTATCTTATGATTTATTTCATGTACCAAACAGCTTGCTGAAAATGCTGTGCGAGTTTACAAGAATTAACAAGAGGAAACCAGACACTAAAGAAATACTGTACTCTATTACCAGAAACTTTGATGGCCTGGAAAATTGTAATCCATTGAAACATTTTCAGAAGCACCTCGGACAACATATATCTGATGAAGAAGTAAATTCATTTAGAATTTAAATGACTTAATTTTTATTTACTCATGAAAAAATGACAATAAAATGTTCTATATATGTGTGTGTGCAAAATAGTTAGCTCAGCTGACACAAGGATCACATGAGCTATGCATTTCTGGGCGACATGAGTCTGATTTCGTCTTTAATCTCTTATTGTTTCCGACGACTTCTTGTCAAGAAACATTAAACAAATTTAAATCATACTTATTACAAAGTATCGTAGAGTAAAAGAAAACTCATGTTTACTTAAGTTTACTTTTTTGGAATAATTAAGGAATAGTTCAAATTTAAATACATCCTTTAAAAATGTAACCATTATAAACTTACATAGAGGCGTCATATTATTGTTATGATGTAACTTTAATATATATATATATATATATATATATATATATATATATATATATATATATATATATATATATATATATATATATATATATATATATATATATATAAGTTAGGAAGGGACAGAGCGTCCCGAAAATGTGAAAAATTTTATTGTTCGTGTCGTTGGTCATTTTAAGTGCTTTATATAAATTCCATCCATGACCTTGTATCTACTTGGTGGATCCGACCAAGTATATATATTATTATTAGTAGTATTAGTATTTTTATTATTATTATCATTATTATTCAAGTTCATAATACGGAGATTTGTGAAATACAGGAAGAAAATTTGAAATAAAAGTTCTGGTCCAAGTGATCCGGTGAGCGTTGTGACCTATAAAAATCTTGTTTCATTTCTTTCTATCATATAAATTAGATTGAAGATCAGAATTCGTTGAAGGCGGAGATTTTGCTAAAATCACTTACTGGAGATAAGAAGTTACAGAGGTAAAGTACTAAGAAAAACCTGTTTACCTGACCTTCTTAAAAATTTATTCTGTACATTCCAAATATAACTTCAGCTGCTTTTTTATATCTGTAAAGAAACTCCAATTTATTTATTTAGAATTTCTAAAATGGTTTGCCATATATTTACATTTTATCAGAGAAATTATTCTATAATATTGTTATACCCCGCTGTGAAAATGGCCGGGATATATTGATTTTGTTATGTCTGTCTTCCGTCATTTTGTTTGCTTTGATCAGTTCAAAAGTCATTTTCAAAAATCTATTAAAGATATTTTCTTCAAACTTCCTATGCTGATGGATACTGATCACTGCATCAACATGTAAATTGGACCTTGGCGTTTTCTTTGAGCTTGACGTCACCTTTTAGAAAAATAGTGTATACCCGCTGCAATAGCTCAGTATTGAAGAAACCATTAAAGATAGTGTACATACTGATATAAGCTTACGAATGGCATTAACATTTTTGTACCTTTCCTTTGACATTGAACTCATGGTATTTTTTTAAACTATATATTGTCTCTTCACTATTAAATTTCATAGTCGTAAAAAGTGTTAGAATGTTGCAATATCATTAAACATTGGTGAAGGAGAATTTTGATAGCAGAAAATTACAAGTCAAATATTAGAGAGAAACCACAGGCCTTTGGATCGCTTAAAAATCGTGTATGTAAAAAAGGTAAAGGTATGGAACTCTTACACTAGGAACCCAATTTTGCTAATAAAATATTTTTTTATGATAAATGCTATAAATCTTACTTTCTATATAAATCTATTCATAGATGAACAATCTTCAATTCTACAAATGGTGTTCATTCCAAAATTCCATATACTTCTCAAGATCAATCTCGAAATATTCTGAAATTAATTTAAAAAATGACCCCCTCGACATTAGTTTGGACCCTTGGTCATTCACATGTAAACAGACAGTGTTTTAAGTAGCAAAGAGTTTATCATAGTATCGTAGTATTTGCAGAATCTTTCAACATTGTGTAGTTGATTTCTTACTCCAGATTGTAAGATCGTTATAATTCTTTTCCAGAGAAATAAATTTAAAATCGTCTACATCAACAACTGAACCGCCACGTTAAATTGATTTTGAATGTAAATGAGGCTATAGTTAAACAAATGTTCCCAGAATATATGATATACCTTTCGATTTTAAAAAAAATTAGACCGCTAAAGTGTAGTCAGTGACTAAGAAAGTTCTTAATATGCTATTGTAGAAAATTTTATAAAGCTCGAATGTAAATGAGCAAATGTGCATTGAGTATATATTCCAGGGAAAATTTTTCCCGGCTTTCCCGCTTAGCAATTAGTTTTGGAATACTGAACTCTTCAAAGGCCCAAGTTGATGTCGAGTAAAAAAAAATAAGGTCAATTTTTGGAATATCTCGACAAGTATACAGAATAAACTTCGGTAGTAATGTAGCTTGTATATATATGAATAGATACGGATGGAATTAAAATTGTAAAGCATTTTATTTTAAAGAATTTTATAGACGACAGTAGTTGCCCCATAAAAAGAATAATTATCTTTATTTTGTTACACCTTATTTTTGTCTAAGCGATCCCTGTGAGAAAAACTAATGAGTTTATTAAATGTCTGGGGTTAACCGGTAGATCATCTATAATCAAGAAGATGTTACATCTTTAGGGAATTGGGCTCTCTTGATAATATAGTAAAAATACTTTAAATAATCTTTTATTTTGCCATTGAATATTTATTAAACGAAGTTCATACATGTAGTAATGATAAGCAAGAATTCTTCTAAGTACAGCCTTGAACGAAGTTTTAGGTAAAGAGTCAAGGTAAAAAAAGTAGCCTCTCTGATTAATTTCTTTTCCGGAGCATATTTTCTCAGTCTCGTGGTCCAATCTGTCTCATACTTCACGCACAGACTGTCTGAGTAAAGGATGTGTTCCTCTTCATGATAAACTCTTTTCCGCAAGCTTATACATTCATATTTGTCGCTGAAAGCGGGTTATTTTGAGATGGCCACTATCTCCATGATATATACATGTAATTTGGTTTTCTTAGCTTTTGTTTTGTGTCACTTCGTTTCGATTTTATTACGAATTTAACATGCATTCCGTGTTTATCGAGTAAAATTAACTTTTCAGTAAGAAACAAAGTACGTAAAATTGTGGTTTTAAATTGGCAGGAAATTATACCTGAAAGATTTTTTTCTGAATTATATTATGACATCTAACTAGTTTGTAAGTGTTAGCTGGATAATATTTCTGGATGATTTTAATCTGTGTATTATTTTTTTTCCTAAAAACAGAGAAACGAGGTACATCCTTCTAATGAAAAGAAATATCAGTGTCCTTACAGATCTTTTCTGCATTTTGGAAAACAAAACAGTACATGTGCTATATGGTTCCTGTTTTCCAAAAGACAATGAATACATTCAGGTGAGCATGGAATTTGAAGTAATAGTACTGGTGACTTGAACTTTTGTGTTTCCATATTCTGTTTGTCTCCTAATAAATTCATTTGACATATGTATGTACGATTGTTTTCTAAACAAAATGTCTTAGGCAATGAAAACAGTTACATGTACGTTTCTCTTTGCTTAATTATTTTTTTTTTGTAAAAAGTACCTTTATAAGATCATATGGTTCAATTTTCATGAATATAATATTGAAAAAGTAAATGAGGTAAAAATAATTCAAGCAAATACAGTGTAAGCATACATCGGCGCGCGAAGACCTATGCAAGCTTAATTTATCTCTCCCATAATGTAAGGTTCTTAACATTTGACTCACAGGAAAGTAAAATTGCTTCGCACATTTATGTTAAGTTTGTGAGTAAAATGACAAGAGTTTACACATCGATAATTTTATCAAAAAGAAGGTTTTATTCTTATAATTCCAATAACTGACCGTCCGTCTATCTGTCTGACTGTTTGCAAAATGTTTAACCTTAAATTTATCGGCAAGATTAAATTTTTTTGCAGGGAAACAAACAGACAGACGGAGGTCGTATAGATAGGAAAATAACTATATAATCCATACCTTTAAATCTAATTGCCATGTTTGGAGATAAGCTTAATAATAATAATGACAAAACATACGATGCAAGGACATTTTCATTGTAGTCAACAAGGGTTTAGTTGATATTTAATGATATGCATGTATACATTCATTAACTAAAAGTGAGAAGTTTTGAATTTTCGTAGATTCAGAGGACAACAGTTAAAGTTTCCAAAGTTTAATTTTACCAATTGGGGAGAACTTTGCTAGGTTCTAAGATAACTGGTAATACAGCAATTTAATTTATTTTATTAGATTTGCAGAAAGATAAATGAAGTAAAAGTATACATGGGAACTCCATCGACTGTAATCCTGATAAACCTGGACAATATCTACGAAAGCCTATACGATGTAATGAATCAGGTAATAAATTTTGAAAAATACCCGTTAAATTGAGGTGAATAATAGGTAAGTAATGTTTTTTATATCTTAATGGTAATTTGGAATATTTTTTTCTTGTTGTTAATTGACTTAGCATTATTTTCTTACGATTCATTGCATGATATAAACACATATATATTTATTTTACATCAGTATTACATGGAATTGGACTCAAAGAGATATGTTGACCTTGGACTAGGAACCCACAGAGTAAAATGTTCGGTTCATCCAGACTTCAGGTAAAATCTCCAAATACTGTTGTATTAATTGGTTATGTTGCCCTACGTAGCTTGATGCCCTGATGAAAGATCTCAAGGGGAATGGACACAGTTTCAACTGTAGTTTAATTTTTCCAATAAAAATTATTACAATTCTAAACTAAGGCAGTTCTAATGATAAGCAAACATTTTGAACATCATCTGATGATTTACAAAGGAGATAGAGAACTTATATAAAATTCATTATAATGTAAACAACTCTCGTTCCTTGTTTTTGTTTACAATAGAACATATGTTTATAATAAAAAAAAGATTTAGCAAATTAGTAGATGATCTTGACTTTGAAGTATGACTTTTTTTCAAAAAGTTAACCTTGTTTATGACTTCTGAATGAGAAGACATAGGGCTATCGTATTATACTTGTGTATTACTTGTGACAAGGCCTTTCTAAATACACGAGTATTTTTATTCATATGTATTTCTTGTAATAAGATATTTTTAAGCAATCACAGATTTCTCAACCTTTGACCTTGACCTTCCTGACCAAATTAAAAAAAAAACAACTTTATTATAACATCTGAATGGCATATGAGAGGGCGTTATATTTAACACAATATGCCATGTAAATGGCATTTCACCAACAAAGCAGCAGAAAGCGGGTGAACACAGTTCTTTTAACTTTATACCGGTAGCTTATTCAAAACTAATTATAGATCTTGTTTCAATTCATGTTAATCTTATAGGTCTTGTTTATGCATCTATTGTCTTAAAGCCAATGGTATACAGTAAAACTTCTCTAAACCGGCCGGCTACCGGACTGAATAAAATGGCCGGACTAGAGGGGTGGCCGGTTTCCCGAGAATCTATCATATTGAAGAATTCCAGAACTAATATGTGACAGATATTAGGAAAAATATATAATTGGTGTTCGTTATAATTATCTGTCAACATGCTATAAATAATAAGTAGACAGTAATGTATTCTTAAGGTCTAAAAAAAATAAATTATTATCAGTGAGGATATTCATCATACATGTACATGTTGATTTTTATAAAAAGAAATTAAAAAATAAAACAGAAAAAAACATGGAAAGTTACTTTATTAACCGTATGCGAAGAAATAAACCAGATTCTTACTCTATACAGTATACTGCATATATCTGTGTATCGCTTACGTCATTAAATCAAAGTACTGAATGTACTGGGAAGCGCTTAGCATGGTTCAACTAAACCCGACTCTTGATCGCCTTGACTGCTACGTTAAATAAAACCGAATGTAAGGTTTGTTACTTTAATAAAGTCTAAAAAATGAAGAAAAAAAAGTTAACAAAATGTTGCATTTTGGATCCATGTTTCTGCGATAAAATTGAATTTATATCAATATTACAGTCTGATATTTTTCTTCTGACTTACCTCATTTCAGATAAGGTATAATACTCTGCATTAGCTGGAAAATTTTCTTTGTTGTTGTTTTCTTTTTTGGCAGGTGGGGTGGTGGGGTGAAAAATTTTGAATACAAAAAATGTTGCTGATATCCTTCTCTTGAATGTAAAGTAGAGAACACAAAACCTTTGAATGGAATTTTGAACAATGTTTAATTCTACTCTCAAGAATATGAACAATATTTTTTGTATTTTTTTTTTTAAATTCGGCGACTTTATTTGTTATCATCGGCCGCAGGGGTGATCTGTCTATTTAGTTTGAAAGTGTACAGGGGGAAATCAGTCATTATTTTTTATTTGTTCCATCTTTAATGATAAAATATATTAGGATTATGAATTAACGATTTTTAAAATGGCATTATATTTTGTTTGAACTGTTTTTAGCATATTTTAATATTTTATAATCCTCTTCATTAATATTTGTAAAGTTAAATTTATTTAAATAAGGTTTTACAAAATTAAAATTCCTAGCATAGGACCTTGTAATATATACACACATTCATTCATTCATTCATTCATTCGTTCGTTCTTTATTTCCTCCATTTTGAGATTTGAATTACAACACATCAATTACAACAAATATACATCAATGAGAAGTAAAGAAAAAAGATAAAAATATATGGATAGAACAAGTATATATAGTTTATATACGCTGTCTGAAAACATAAAAAGAACAACCTCATGTTTGTATTTCATACACGTTGTCGTTGTAAGTGACTATACTAAAAACTATAAATGAAAAACATTTTAACATAAACTTCTTTTTGTCTAATACTTGGTCATGGGTACCCCTAAGAACAGATAAGTAAAAATCATACTCATTTAAATTAACAAAATCTGTGTAAACATTGCTGTACGTATTCGTCTGATAATTCAAACATAAATTTAGATTTTTCATTAGATTTTATAGAACACGACGCTATGGCATGTTGGAAACTGTTTGTAAAGGGGTTCGAGCAGATAGTGCACTGGAATATGTGGATTATGTAACTAAACTACAAAATGTGGATACAAATTAGATATAGAAGCTAGTTTAATAAATAATTTTTTATGGAATTATGCTTCTAAATGATTTAATTCTAATTTGATTTTTTAATACTCATTGATATTTTAAACCTTATGAGACTTAAATACATGTGTGCATAAATCTTTTTTCGGTACTGGTATTAATATAATTATTAACATGTATGGCCATTAGTTTTCGAATTACCACTACAGAGATTACATGTACATTTGTGACATAATGAGTGTTTGCCAGTATACTTATTAATACGCACCATATTGTTCAGAGATAAGAACCGCCCTTATCCCCTACCGCAGGATTTCCGTACATATTAATATCGACTGTACCAATTAACACCTTTTATGATAACTCCTACACTAAAGTAGCGGAAAGAGGGTACGGGATTGTTAGACGGCTCAATAGAGTTAAATAACTTGCTCAGCAGCGATATATTATATATCACTCCGTATAGTTCGTCATTTTGAGAACATAATATACAACATTAAAATACATAATTTACATCTCATCACCTTAAAAAGGAACCATATTACACCACGGAGATAAATAAGGTCAGCATTAGTAGCCCTTGCAAAGGCATTAATAGAAACCATTTGTTTACATAATTATCATTATTTATAGAGGGCGGGTCAGGAGTGCGTTCAAGATCGTAGTGCTAGATGGATATTAGGTACAGATACCGAATTTGAACAAGAATAGCAGCCACTTAAATAATATACATTATAAATATTTATGCTAAGTTTGAAATCCTGTAATCCTACTTGGAATTCTTGGATAACACTTTGCATCACGCGACATGATGCATATACCGGTATATTAAACTACGTGTAAGTTTACTAGGAACTTTGGTATTGAGTGCAGCCATGATATATGCGGTCGGTAGAGGGCGTTGAATAAAAGATCGTGAAAATCTGAAGACACCCTATAAATCGCTTGCGCATGCGCGCTTAGCGCTTAAAAATTGTACTTCAGTGAAAAGTAAATAATTAAAACATTTTTTTAGCAATACTTTTCTTATTTTAATTAAGAAAAGTATATTTTGGTTAACATTTAACTAGTATTTTTGGGAGTTGAACTATGTTCAATCTCCCATGGTCATCACGTATTTAACATGCGCAGTAATTTGTGTTGATTATATAGAGCCGAAAGCGAGGCTACTGTGTCGGCTGATTTACTCCGATGATATTCAACAGAAAACATGCATAAACATCCGCCACAAATAGTTCCTGTCATTTTCTCCTGAATTGATCTAATTTTCATAATTTGAAATGCAAGTTAATGTAATAATGATAAAGTATATTATTTTGAATATTAGATTTCGTTCAAAGTAAAACTAAATTATAAAGAACTTCAAAAGTTTTTCGTAATGGAACTCATTTTTTGTGTGGCGTCATACACTGAAAAAGATACGATCGACAACTCTACATACTAACGGCAAGCGGTAAATCTAGTCGTCCCGACGCCCGACGGTCCCGGATTTTTAGCAATTTCTTTTTTACCGGTGCACAGAATTTATTCAAACTTTTCATGAACATTTTCTTGGTTTAAATGAATTCATTAATGCATAAAAACTTTAGGAAACATGCGTATTTATTACTAAATCAGCAGTATCACATGCCAAAAGCGGTAAATCTAGTACTCTGTTATAAATGATAAAACCAAAAAACGGACACTGATGTTTTCGTAAAATCATTTCGTAAAAACAACAAAATGAAGTATATTTTTTTAATAAAAGGAAAACCTCATTTACATACCAGATAGTTCGTACGCACACAAACTCTCACATATACCACTGTTTTTATGTTTGGTCATTAAATATCTGTTTTAAACGTGGTATTGCTTTTTTCTTCACAATATTAAAAAAGATTGAGTCCTGATGTCCTGGTATACTCTATGTATAATGTTCATGTAATTGAAATACATTTATATTCACAGAGAAGTGTTATATAACAAACCTGTTAGCTCTAAAAAGGATGCTGTGTTAAAATCCACATTTTATCAACATTGATATTATTCCTGCGAAACTGAAATTTTCATAACACATGGGTAAAGGTGCCAAGGAAAAATACATTACAAATTTGAAAACTGTGAGCAGTGAATTATATAAATGATCAACCGCGCCTCTAATATGAATATAATGACAGTGTCCATGTTTTGCAATGGGAAACCCAAAATATGTGTAGGATGAAAAAGTAATAGAAGGTGCACAACGGCTATATGTAATAAAGATTCTATGAAAATTTCGTTCAGTGGTGTAAGAATAGATGCGGATAAGAAATGGGTATACCTAAAGCGTTACAAAAAGATAGACGGAAATCCGATTAATAAATAAATAATAAAAATGGACTAATGTAGGCAGGCAAGCATTATGGTCCCTGCATTTTTTAGCTATTCAATGTCTCTGAATGTCTTTCTCAAGATTTTTGCAACTCAAAAAATCTGAAACAGTTGTCTGTATTTGAGATAACCTCCCGATCAAAGATTTTATTTAACACCATGTTCAACTCCCATGAGTGCTTTCAGTACTTTGATTTTTCTTAGCATTATGTCCCGTGGGGATCCGGGTTAGAATAGATCCTCAGTACCCCCTTGCTTGTCGTAAAAGGCGACTAAATGGGGCGGTCTTTCGGATGAGACCGTATAAACCGAGGCCCCGTGTCACAGCAGGTGTGGCACGATAAAGATCCCTCCCTGCTCAATGGCCCTGAGTGCCGAGCAAAGGCCCAAATTTGCAGCCCTTCACCGGCAATGGTGACGTCTCCATATCAGTGAAATATTCTGGAGAGGGTTGTTAAACAGTATACAATCAATCAATCTTAGCATTATGTAACAATGTCTATTTTTAAGGCCGCTTATGTCTATTTAAAGAGATGATGCAATATGGCGTGCGATAATTTGTTGTTTCATTCTGTGATTTAAATTTATTTGTTGCTTGATATTTAATTAATTCAAGTTTAATTTTTGTTAATCATAATTATATGTACACAACTTAGATCGACCATTTAAGTAATCTGGCAAGATGACTACCCCTTCAAGACGGTTAAACAATAGAAAACCCTAAGAGGCCATATTCAGTTTTTCACACCTCTGACTTCTGGTGGCTAGGCTATTTTTCACACCTCCGGCCGATCATTATTGCTCCTCTGGCCAATGAATTTAATTTCTTGCAATCAAAAAGCGGCCGGTATGATGAGGGGAAATTTCCTATGTTTCTTAAATTTTGTTCTTGGAAAAGTGGCCGGTGTACGGTTTTCAGGGAATGGCCGGTTTTATGAGAATTTATGTGTAAAGAAATGTTAAGAATTTTGCCGGGAATTATAAATTTGGCCGATGTTCAGGGAGAACCGGTTTCCAGGGGGGGGGGGGGTGGGCGGTTTTGAGATGTTTCCCTGTATTGAGATTGGTATAAAAAGTAAACGATAAAAGATTTTTTTTTTCAGATGTATCCCTTAGTGAAATGTGTTGTTCAACTGTCTATTTGAAACAGCTATGATAATATTATCATGATATTTTTTTCATGTTATTTCCCCCGAATTGGCCCCTTTCTCGTAGAGTAACTGACAAACATGTTCGTATCACAAGAGTTATTTCGACCTAGAAATACATTTTATTTATATAACAAAATAATTATGACAAAATCCATTTGAAATTTGGTTTCAAGGGAAAAAATGTCATTTTTGTAGTCATGTTAACTAAAACAGACTATACACAGGTGATCACTCAGGTGAGAACAATGTTGGCTGTGTAGGAATTTCAGAATTTTGGCTAAGTGGGAATAAACCTATTATCCAAATGCATGTTTGTTAAAGAATAGTATTTATGAAATGGTTGTCATTATATTTTAACATTCGGGATGGACACTCTTAACGCTTGTATCTAGGATATTTAAACTTAATACTGAAGCTGATCTGCATAATCTTGAGATATTTAGTAAAATAAATTATAGATAAAAACAATTATACTAATTATTTTTGTTTAAAAAAAAGGAGTTTCAGGTTTTTGATAAATATGGCTTTGTTTCTTATGTCCTTATAGATTAGTTCTTGTTGCAACAAACGATGCAGTGTACAAAAAGTTTCCAATTCCATTGATAAACAGACTTGAAAAGCATCAATTATCCTGGAAGTACCATATGTCTCCAATGCAAGAGTCACATAGCAAGGAATTGACCACTTTTCTTAGGCATCTTTCAAATAACCAAACTGATAGGTAAGATACAAACTTTATCAGAAACAATATTGCAATTGGTGTGCTTGAGATTAAAGGTACTTGGACACAGATTTGAAGTTATTATTTTCTCTATAATATTACAACATATATATTTTAATAGCATTTCACACAAAAATTAATTAAAAATCTTATTTCGTTTAAAAGATATTGAAATTTCAAATTTTTCGGATGGTTTAATTGACATATCTTTGCACTCTCACAAATTGAATTTTATTCTTAATCCTTAGAAAAGGTGGCAATATCGTTTTGTATAAATGAAAAATATTAATACTATAATCCAGAAAATTAAGAGTAGACACGTTCGAAAGCAAAACAAACACACAATATATTGTCAGTCCGGGCAGTTATAGTAAGCAGACTGTGACGATTGAACGCACCCGGTGAATTCTAAATATACACAATAACAGAACTCGAGCCCTGTTTACAAAAACTGTGTACATAACACGAGTGTGTTCGATTTTCTAAACTCTGCACGCATCTCTTAGTTCGGAATGACGATAGTTGTGAAGGTGTTTTGCTTTCTAACAATTCTACTCTGAATAAAATTATTTTTCTTGATAAAAGTTTAAAATAATTAATATTTCTTATTAAAACACATCAAATTGCCACTTTTCCTAAAGATTAAGAATAAAGTTAAAATTTGTGAAAGTGCTAGGATGTGTCAATCAAACCCGCCAAAAAATTAAAAATTTTTATAACTTCTAAACGAAATAAGATTGTTAGTTAATTTTTGTGTGAAATGCTAATAAAATATATAATTTTTCACAATAAAAGAGATTACGATCAGGGATCAAATTCTAAACCACACAACGTGTTCAGCTCTAAAAAGCACGTGAGCAAGAAAATGTTCATGATCTTAACAATTAGCTCTGGTGCATTTTTTTTGTCATTTCAATAAAAAAAAGATGCAGAAAACTTCTGTACCTCGTGTGTGGATATTAACAAAATTCTTACCATGAGTAATTGAAGATGATATTAAAATGATACTTGAGTTCCTCATTGACAACATTTATGTAGTCTTTATAGACCTAAATCAAGCTTTTGGAATCCCAATAGGCACTACCTGTGTATCGGAAAGACAGTGGGTTCAAAATTCCAGTTATGTAATTCATAAATACTAGCCCTGAAATTGTGAATTTTTATTCATAATTTAATAGTTTTTCAAGTGTTCTGTCACAATATAAAGGAGATGAAGGACTTTTAGCTGAGGAAATACCTGTCGTTCAATTTTTTTTCGCATTTTGTGTTTGTCTAATTAAGTATGTTCCATATACTTAAATAAAAGATGTATTAATAGGATTCTAGACTTATTTTTGAGATATTGAGTGACAAATAAAAAACCCTACAGTGTCAAAATGAAGTTTTGATGCTCCATGTTTCATGGCCCATTACTCGGTCAATAACTGAATCTTTTTTCAGTATAAATATAAAATATATCATCAAAAATATGTCTTTTAAAATATTTCAGAGTATGGATATGGTTAAAAATTCGACAAAGCAAGATTCTTTTGTCACACTTGGTTTTATATACATGTAATTATTATTTACAGACTTAATTAAGGACAGACAAGAAATTAGTTTAAAACATTCCGACAGTCTTTCTTTAATTTTTTTTTTTTTTTGGAAAGACGAATTTGGGAAAGGATTATATTATCAAGCAATGAATAGACTTGCCATCCTTAAAGCCCCCCCCCCCCCCATTGTCTTAAAGGCAGATATTTTTACCGGGTAGCTAATTCCAGGTGGGGGAGGGTCTTATTTTGTTTTATACAAGTGTGAATGCTTTGGGTGCTAGCAGTCTATATGTGAAATACTCAGATGTAATACTTTATCTGCGTTGGGGATTTTGAGACAATTTCAAATTAAGTGAAGAAGTAAAAGGATATTTTTTTTCCTCAAATATCTATATTGATTAATTTTGGATATTGGATAACATTCATTTAATAGAACCCATTAAAATATGTTGATAGACTATTAATTCAAATATTAAAACAAAGATTATTTATGATGTTAGGGTATGAATAAATTTTAAAAAAAAATCCAGTAACATCCAATTATTCCTTTTCATGATTTTCAAATCACGAATGTGCCATTTACATTTCACAAGTCGACAAATCGCATGTTTACGAATTAAACGATAGCTTCGACAAAACTTGCATTTACTAACCCTTTTACGTACTCCTTTATGTAGACTTTGTTTTTTTTTATTTCTTATTGGCAGAATTTATTCATAAACCTCAAATTGAAAAACACATGTTGTGACCTTTTACTGGACGATGCATTATTAAGTTCTTTAAATTTGAAGTGCTCAAACTGAAGATTCAACGCTTGAATTTCGTAAAATACTTACTGAAAAAGTGCTATATTCTCAGGGAATTTATTTTATTGCAGAAAATGAAAAAAAAAATACAGATTGTTTTTTAAATAAAAACATAATGTTAAATAAAACTGTATTCAAAGATATTTGATTAGTATTTAATTTAATTTAAAGATTCCTTATACGGATATAACGAATTGCGGATGTAGCAAAGTAAAATTTCATAGGTCTAAGTGACTGTGTTACACTAAAGGCAACACGGATCCCGTATTTCCCGGGCACCGTCGTGAATTACCACAACACGGTAATATTCAGGTAAGACAGATAAACTGCGTTCCCTCCGCGGGAAATTCATTACCTACATGTCCCTGCCACGATTTAATCATCGATCAACTAGACTTGATGATCCTATACTCTACCCCGTAAATATTTTTGCGGCATGGTGCAAGCGCAGAAATTGAAAACCCAAAATTTTTTTTGCTACCTTTAAGGAATAAAATCGCAAAGAATTCGTTATACGGTGTATTAATGAAATCGTGAAGAAGACATTGATTCCAATGTTATGACCTATAAAATATCTGTAAATAATTTTAGTTAGTATAGTATGCTATGGACATCAACGGTAGTAGGAGACATGGGATAATTTTAGCATATTTTCAGAGGATTGATCACTGCTCGTCACTGCTTTATTTTGCCATTTTGTGAAAATGTTTTGAATTGAAAGTGTAAAAAATACAATGATTATCGGTGGCCGACATCATATACCCTATAACAATATATTATTGCAGTTGTTTAAAGCCTTTGTATATATGTTTTCTGAAATGACTTGTTATAAATGGATCTGATTTTCATATAAATGAAATATAAACAAACACAAAGATGATAAATTCATAGGATGATGTTTCATAAACAAAATAAAGATACTATAATATAATAATTAAATGTGCTGTTAATCTGATAATAGTTTAAGGTACTCGATCCTCATTCTGAAAATCAAGCACTGACTAATTGAAAATGCTCTCAAAAATGTCTCTAAATTTTCAAAGTGACGTGTTTTTACTCACAATAATTCTCCACACTTCATCTTTCAAGTAAATCATATCATATAGTGAAAAATAGAAAACCTTAGATATATTTTCAGAAATTACGAATATAACACCTGCTTTTCAATTCAAATTTGGTCGATATCGATTAACACATTTTCAAAATAAAAACAGGCTTTTGAAGACATTCCACAATTTCTATTAGGGCTGGGTATTGGCTCGAGATTTCGTATTTTTAACTGTATTGCGATATGTATTGCAATATTTTCAATGTCATAAAAATGGCATTTTCTAACTATATTTACTTTAATTTTATAAAAATTTACATGCAGAATGTACATATTAACATGATACATATGTAAGTAACCAACATGTAAAAAGTGTTGTTGATTTCATTGCAGTTATTCTCAGAAATGTTTCCACAAAACAGCTTCTGACTTACTAATTGGCTTAATAACACTTTCATAAATCCATTTTTATAATTCTTTAATGACAAAATACCTTAATGTAAGCATATTGCCAATATATCGATATTACAAAATCATATTGCGATACGATATTTTTTTGTCATTGTGTTGCAGTTTATTGAAATATCGATATTATTGCCCAGTCCTAATTTCTATACATATAATGTACGTTAATTTCTTTATTTGCTTCGTTCATTTTACAATGCACATTGTTCTGTCATTGCAAAGCACCATAAATCACTCTTATTTCATTTGAAAAACCAGTGGTATCTATTGTTAGATAAAATAAAAATCAATTTCTTGATATATGTAATTTTAAATGCTTTTACGGGGTAAAAATTTCGACTTTTTATTAATCCTTTCTGGGAACGTTAAAGAACCTTGAAGCACATTGAGAGGTATATAATGAAAATTGTTGCATGAAAAGATTTAATTTTTATGCTCCATTTTGAGACTTTTGAATTAAATTATAAATTAAATAGTTGTACTTCCTGGTTGAGGATCGGGGTACCTTAAACTTTTGAAAACAATTCTTATATAATTTTTTAAAAAGGTAAAAAACAACGATATATACATGTATGTTTATCTTTTATATGGAATACCAACATAGTTTCGGAGTAGCATTTTTTTAAAAGTACATTTTATTTCTTAATTGTAGCCACAGCTGTAGCAATAGAAAATATTCTCTAAACGACGTTTTGATCGGCTTCAATGATGACACATTATATGGAGTCTTATGGGAGGCATCCAAAAATTGTACTGACAATTTAAAGGTATCATGCGTAATTCCTTTTTTAAAGACAGATGAAACAGACATTTTTGTCTTTGGATGAGACTTAATATCATGTCAAAGGTTAAGGAAAGTGGATAATTCTTTATATTTTTCTCAAAGAAACTGGAAAATAATCTTTGAAAATATAATTATATGAGAAATGTAAACCATTACTCAGTGTGATTTGTCTATATTTTCGATTTTATTGAAATATTACTAATAATTGATTGATTGTATATTGTTTAACGTTCCTCTTGAAAATTTTTCACTCATATGAAGACGTCACCGAATGCCGGTGAAGCGCTTCAAATTTAGACCTATACTCGGCACTCAGGGCCATTGAGCAGTGAGGGTTCTTTATCGTGCCAGCGCCTATCGTTTTTAAGGTCATATCCGAAAGACCCGTGACTTTCACTTCTAGTGCCGAGCGCTTGGCGAAGGAACAGTCACTACCTTTGTTTGCGTCTTAGGTATGACGCGGCGCCGCGATCGAGAATCGAACCCGGGCCTCCCGATCACGAAGCGAACGCTCTACCACTAGGCTACCGTGACCGGTAAAATATTACTAATGTTTTCAAAGTTTATTTTCATTTTCCAGTTCTTAGGAGAAAAATTTCAAAGAATTATTAACTTTTCTAAATTTGTGACATGAAATTTTCTCATCCAAAGGAAAAAAAAAATGTTTGTATCATCTGCCCTTAAGTAGAATTAAATATTGAATAATATCATAACTTTCGATAAAATTATTGAGTTATTTTATTCATAATAAAGTACACTAGTACTACAAAATTTTAGATTAGGAATTTTTTTACATTTATGATTTTAATTAACTTTTATTAACTCTTAAAAATGACCAAAGCTAACTTTACTTTGAAAAGGTTCATTATCTAGAGTCGAAAGTGAGCTTGTATTACATAACAAAGTATTCAAAGGCTGATATATACAAAAAAGAATGTCTACGCAAGAGAAACCTTTATGGAGAATTTCCATAGATCAATGTTCTATATGCAAACGATAAGGACTAAGAATTTTAAGACAAGATCAAAATGAAATTCACCTAGCTTGGTATATTTTTCTTAAGTTTATATTACACTTTAAGCACCATTGTAACATATTCTGAAATATGTTTTCACTTGTAAACCTTTACTGAATTTGTTTTTTGTATATTTGTTCTTTCATTGAAATATTACTAATATTTTCCAAGTCTTTTTCATATTCAAGTTCTTAGGAGAAAAAAATTCTCAGAACCATCCACTTTTCTAAACTTGTGACATGATATTAAATCTTTTTCAAAGAAAAAAAATATTTGTATCATCTGTCCTTAATATTTCTACCCCCGAGATAACGTTATATATAACCAAAATTAAATTTTTATAAGACGATATTTATTTGGAATAAAAACAGTCTGAAATAAAAGAAAAAAAATCAATATTCATAAACACTTTTGACGTTTTCAAGAATTCCAGTACAAACACATTGAGCGGTTGCGCAAAACCTTTATTTTATTCTGAATTATGATTCCTGGGTTTGGTGCATTCAAATCAAGGACTTTCACATCAAACGCTTTCAGCAACCCTTTGCAATATATAACATTTAAATACAATTCACTGAATTTATGCACCTTTTCGGTTGGGATGGGGATGATAAATGAATTTAGGCACCTTGCCTGTGCGTGTATTTCTTGACTTGTTTTTTTTATTTCTAGATAGAAAAAAAACATACACCTATTTTGGGGGTATTGCCAAAAATGTATTTGAACTTCATTTTCACTATGGGTGAATACTATTTATCATAATATAAAAAATCTTTTGTCGTATTATGAATATTCAAATGTACATGTATTGCAATGTATTTTTAAAGGATATTCAGAAATCACGCCGTGTTCTTCTGGCTGCTTGCACACCTGATTCCCTTGCAAGAATGAGTGTGGATGATCCGGAGAGGGAAGAACTTTTGAAAACTTTCTCTGCAGAAAATCACGATAGCCTTCATACCTTTGTTCAACATCTTATCAACACCGATACTTTTAGTGGTTCTTCACTACAAGTAAGTAACTTTATCATCTGCTGTTTAGCTTTATGAAGAGTGTACGGACATTTGCTCTTACTTCATGTATATTACAAATTGTTGGAGATGTGACAAAATGAATTTATCACTCATAATGTCTTACTTTATTTGGTTTAAATGAATCAGATTTTAAAGAAATTAATTCTGATAGACTCTAGTTTCAGTTATGTATTATACAGTTCTTTATATACTGCGTTATATAATTAGTCTTCTACCGGGAAAACCAGATTAAATGCCTATAGCCATGTTGGTCCATTTGTACGTCTTTGCTCCTGTCGTCCCTTTTGCCCTTCATTCCCTCCCCGTCTTTGTGTGTCTCTCCTATTTTGCTCTCATTAATTTTATCTAGATATACTTGCACAGCAGACATGTTATAGTTTTTTTTGCGATTTTTTTTTCGAATTTCCGACCAAAATTGAATTTCAGAAAGTTTGTGCGTATTTGATTGAATGGCAGGTATTGTTATTTTTAAAAGGAGCCATTGAGTTAAGCTGTGTTTGTCTAAGGATGGCTTATTACAGATCGATATATATTTATTTGTTGAATCAAATTCGTCCTGCCCAAGTATGTACAACTCTCAGTACAAGTGTATATGTTTTATCCTAGATCACCACACATTCAAAACTTATTTCTGAGGAAGAGGTCGCCAATCTTGAAACTGACATCAATATATTGAAGGGGAAAACCTGTCTTCTCAATCTGCAGACTTTCGACACAGAGCATCAATTTAACTCAGAAATAAGGTACAGGAAATATTGAATAAATGTGTTGGACAATTTAAAAATGATGTTAGCAATTTAGACAATAGAAATTTTATTCATTGGAAAGTAAATCAACATAGATAAACGAGCCATAACCAACTAGGATATATGGATAAGTAGTCCCGGTAAAATATATGCATACGCCAAACTTGAATAAATGCGCCTTGCTTTATAATCAGATTCATGCGCCAAATTCGAATTAATGCTCGTTGTTGGATAATAAAAAGGAAATAAGAAGAATTTTTCCAGCAGAAAGATGGGTTGACAGGTCGAGGGGTTTACGGGTCGAATGGTTAACAGGTAGAGAGATGGAAAGGTAGACATGTCAACGAAGTAACAGGTTGACTGGTTGACAGGTCAACGGGTTGACAAGTCCACTGTAAGACTTGTTGACGGGTAGACAGGTCGACGGGTTGACAGGTAGTAAGGTCGACGGATAAACGGGTCGGCGGGTAGACTGGTCTACAGGTTGACAGGTCGACAGGTTGACATGTCGACGAGTTGACATTTAGACAGATTTGGGGGTAGACAGGTCGACGAGAGAGTGGGTTGACAGGTCGACTGGTTGACAGGTCGACCGGTTGACAGGTAGACAGGTCAACGGGTTGACAGGTCGACGGGTAGACGGGTCGATGGGTAGACTAGTCGATGGGTTGACGGACAGGTCGACGGGTAGACAAGTAGTGGGTTTACAGGTCGACTGGTTGACAGTTCGACTGGCTAACAGGTCGACGGGTTGACCCTAAGATGGGATAGAGAAATAGCCCTAATCTATCATGTTCGATAACTAACCTTAATCTCTCAGGTTGGTTTTGGAACTAACCCTAATCTATCAGGTGGGTTTGAGAACTAACCATTATCTCTCAGGTGGATTCGAGAAGTGACCCTAATATCTCAGGTGGATTCGAGAACTAACCTTAATCTCTCAAGTGGATTCGAGAACTAACCCTCATCTCTCAGGAGTTTCGAGTACTAAACCTAATCTCTCAGCCTGGTTTGAATATTACCCCTTATCTCTCAAATGGATCTGAAACCTTACCCTTATATCCCAGATGGGTTTGAAAATTAATAAGATATGTCAACTGTCGACCTTTGTGATGAAATTGTAGGTTTACCAATAAGAAGTTTCAACTGTCGACCTGTCAACCTTTTTGGTGACACTGTTGATAAGTAAGACGTGTCAACTGTCGACCCTTTAGATGTCAATGTGGGTTTAATGTGGAAATGTAAAACATTTTTTGTAAAGGGGACTTCTTGTGGACTATTTTTTAAAGGATTTATTTGAAGTAATGAGGCAAAATATTCCATCTTTCTACTATAAAAGGAACTATTCATTATCGAATTTTTAATTTCAAAGATGTGAATCGGTTTTATGGAACTACTTATCCGTATACCGTAGTTGAACCAGAGATTCTAATCAATGTTTGAAATTTGTAAATAAAATACAGTACGCACCATACCCAATCTGACACCAAAGCAGTCCCCGGGACTGCTGTGGGACTGCTCTGGGACCGCTATGGGACTGCTCTGGGACTGCTATGAAAAGCAGTCCCAGCAGTCTCAGCTGACCCTAGGACTGCTTTGTTCACTCATGTGCGAAAAAGGTTCTGAGTGACATGATAGCTACGTCCCCTTGTGTATTCTGAATTTGCAGGCTCGCTGTTGTTTTGTTTACTTGCAGCAGAAAGGAGTTTAAACTGTTAAAAAAGCAAAGATGTTTTACATTCTTTTAATAAGTAGAGATTGTTATAGTAAATTCATACTTTCGGGGACTGTATACTTACACAAATTAACGTGTACTTTAGAATAACTTTAAAAAAATAAAGCTGATAAACAAGGAATTCATGAGAAAATTTTCATCCCTAAAAATAAACTACACGTTTATGAGAAAAAAAAATAGCTACATGTTGGCCTTTTTTATTTATTTAATGTAAAATTATGTACTCAAAATTTGCATTGGTACTATTTAAAAATAATCATTACAGTTAGATGTAATTTTTTTTAATAAAAATGCTACTTGTTTTATAAGGACCTCGCAAAAAAAAGATTATTCCATGTTACCCTCAAATAACCCCCAACAATTTATTAAATGACCATGAAATTAAATTATGCTGGCATTGATTCTCCCGTAACATA